GTCAGGAGGGCTGAGACTTTGAGTGTGTAGGGGATTCAGCATCCTTAATGCTCCTTCTGTAAAGGAGCGTACCTGACATGGAAGGTATTCTGGCCTGTGTCTAGAAGAGAATGCCTGGATTTGTAAGTTTGCTGGCCTGGGTGGAGATGGACGTATAGACTCTCAGCCCTGCAGGTCAGCTGATCCTTAGAGACAGTCCCTGTGAGACAAAGGAATAGCCAGATTTGGGGAGCAGATGGGTCCCAGATAGGGGCACTGTCTTCTCCTCCTCCATCTTGAGGACAAGAGGAAGGAAGGAGTGCTACAGTAAAGGGGTCCTGCAAGCGTCCTTCAGGGGATCATGTAGCAGGTAGGCTTGTTTGCTGAAAGGAAAAGTAGCTGAGCTGCCTGCTCAGACTCTCCCTACAATTCATTAAATTCAGGATGTATGAAACATTTATCGATTAAGACGTCAGGTAACCAGTAGTCCTCTAAATATGTACATATAGGTAGGCAACTAGAAATTAATTCATTCAACAAATTAAGCATGGCGGTACTTTATAAAATTGCAAAATTAATTTATCTGTGGTATTTGCTAACAGTAGAATGTTATATATCACATCTTCTGAAAGTCTTAAAAAGCAGAAATAATGCACACCCACATTTTTAAAACCCTATCCCTTTATTTGCACTGACAACATACAGAATTGTTAATCCCGTGGATAGTTATGGCTGCCAGGTAGTGTGTATTAATTGTGTTTAATACTGTTATCAGCTCTATGAGGTGGGGGCCATTGTTAACCCCATTTTCCAGGAAAGGAATTGAGGCTCAGGAGGTTCAGTCCTTCTGCAAAGTCACACAGCAGATAAGAGCGGCACTGAAGTCAAAGGAGCTGAGAGCTTAGGTTATCAGGCTGAGATCTCTGTGCTCCAGGGCAGGGCAGGGGCGGTGGTGGTCCAGTTCAGTCTGTAGGATCCTACCATGGTTGCCCCTTTCTCATGGCCTCCCTCTTTCCACAGGTTCCCATGGCATTTGCAGAAATGCTTATGAACCCTGTTCAGGTGAATGGAGGATGTGACAGACCTTCATCCATCCCAGTTATCACCCTGATGGTTTTGCCATTCTCATATAAAGAATGATGGTGTCCTGAGATTGCTCACCTTGTCTTCTCCCTCCCTTGGGTCTAAAGTCCCTGTGGTTTCACCAAAGCCCAGGGTTTTGAACTGAGCCCTGGATTCTATGGAGCGTTTCCCATTTCTGGCAACTGATGGGGTAAGATGTGGAAGGGTGTCCTGGGCACAGGTTCCAGAATGTTCAAGTGGTGGGGGTGAGAGTGAGTTGGAATGTTCGGGGAACTGCAAGGCTCTTATATATGGTGGGAATATCGGGGGGGGGAGTGTTGGGGGTCAGGGGCACACAGTTATCAGATCCACTATTACGACCTGAGGTCGTGGGCCTCTGATCTGAAGGAAGTAGGAACTAGAGAAGTTTTGGAGCAGAGGAGCCAGGTGATCATATCCAGATTTTAACAGGCTATGTCTAGCTGCAGTGTAGGGGAGAGGCGGGAGTGAAGGTGGGAATAGTGACCTGGGAGGGAGCTCCTGTGACAGTGCAGGTGAGTCCTGCTGATGGCTGGCCAGGGGTGGTGGCTGTGGAGGTAGAGAACTGGTGCCTTCTGGATGTGTTCTGCACGGAGTTGCCCACGTTTAGTGATATGGTGAGTGAGGGTGCCAGGAGGTGTGAAGGGAAGGGGGTCAGGGACAGCCCCGAGGCTTTTGGCTTTCTCTGGAAGTTTGGATGTTCTGTCAGTTGAGATGGGGAAGTCAGTAGTCAGAGGGCTTGCCAGAGGGAATTGGAAGTCCGGTTTTGTCACTGATGTCCAGATGTTCCAGAGACTCCCAAGTAGAGGTACCCGGTCGGCAGGTGGACACAGAGATCTGGAGTTTAGGGGAGGCATTCAGGTTGCAGACAGCCACAACATAGTGCCCGGTATGTGGACTGAAGTGTCGCCGTGCCTCAGTTTTCAGAGGGGGCATCGCTAGGTTGTGGATGTGGGAAGGGGAAGAGGGAGGCTGAGATTTGAATCTCTTTTGGGAGCCTGGATGGTGGTAGTGGATGTCACAAAGGCAGATGAGAAAGCAGAGTCGCTGTGGGGGGGTTGTGCTTACGAGGAATAAAGGTGAGGAGTCTGAAAGGCTTCCAAGGGGTCAAGGATATGAGATAGGTGTCGAAGCATCTCCACGAAGGAAGTCAGATGTCAGTGAGCTCAGAGCAGGACACTTCATCTTTCTTTGGACTCATCAGTGTTTTATGGTGACTCTTGGTCAGACCTGTATTGTTCCTTCAGGCTGGTAGGTCAGCTGAGGTTAAAATGGATCAGCCTGGGGCATTGCTAGGCCTGGGGTGGGGAGTTCAGTGCAGCTGGGCTTCGAATGTGGGTGAGGTTAACACAGCCTGTTTGTGACTGCTTGTAGGGCACTGTGTGTGGTGGTGACGTCGCAGAGGACCAAGGGTCCGTGAGGTACTGACGTCGGGTTTGGGAGGGTGAGTGTGACACAGGCGGCAGGGCCAGGTGGGGAGAACCACAAAGGGACCCTGGTGGTCCGTGGTGCTAGGAAACTTGGGTTTCTGGGGCACGATGGGGCCAAATAGGCTGGTGATTCCACTTGCAAAATACCACCTGGGTTCCACGTGCACAGTGGTGTGCTGGGAAGCCATGGAATTACCTGCAGAGCGGGCTGGTGGGTCTCAGGAACTGAGTTGCAGAAGTGGAGGGACCAGATGTGTAGAGGTTCAGATCAAGAACAGTGTGCAGGCGAGGAGGAGTGTGAGTGTTTGACCCCAGGTCCTGGGATGGGGTGCTTATGGGAGAGAGAAGTTCAAGTTGTGTTGTCTGGGAGGCAAGATCTGGGGGACCTCAGCATAATTTACTGGTGAGAGAGAGAGAGCCCCATTGCAGTGCCAGAGCCTAGGGGGCTTTTCTGCACCCTCCCCCACTTGTTTTCCCGAGTTCTGGACACAGTGATCAGTGGCAGTGACGAGAGACAGGCACGAGTGCCACCAGACCTTGTATCTCTTCCACATGGGGAAGTGGGGGTGGGGGGCAAGGAGGAGGTGGAAGTGGG